CTAGTTTCCAAGTTCAGCAATGGAACTAGGAAACTAGATGGAAAGCGTTTGCATTACAGCATGTAGATGAGACTCCAGCCCGGCAACTAGCAGAAACAGCAGCCGTGACTTTCTGTGATCGATTCATAAGCCTAACACCTGAACTTAGTGACTGGCAAACAAGTTTTATTGATCTCTGCTGCAGCACTATCAATGACTGACACATATCGCAGTCACATAGGTATGTGTTGTGACAGAATGTTAAGACAGATCAAAGGTCTCCAATACTCCTCAAGTCCCTCAGCTGAGATTCAGAGGTCAAAGCACTGGCCACTATGATGCTCATCATATCCATTTGAGCTCATGTCAATCCCAAAATGTCCACCTCAAGAGCTGCCCCAGTCTGGATAGGTTCATTGAAGATGAGAACAGACGTAGCTAGAGGTAGAGACCTCACTGTCTAAACGGATTCACTTTTTTTTTTTTGAGAAGAGTGGACGTTCCATTACAAAGGCAAATTCTGAAATCGATGCATGTCATCCTTATTCCAGGTCCAAAATTGTGGAGACAAAGGCCACTATTTGGGTGCGGTAGATCTACAATTAGCTCCCACGTTTAGGGCTCGACTAGTGGTTAATCTGTTCTGATTGGATAATCTCTTCCACACAGGTTGAACGAAAGGCGATCTTTTTCTTGAAGCGCTCGGGACTGCTTGCTCAGAAATGTCAGAGAGAGAGAGAGACGGTTGCTAGGACACGAGGAGAGCAGCGAGGAGAAGCGTCGCCACAGTGATTAACAGTCGGTCTCCAGACGGACTGCTGCCACTGACACTCTTCTCCAGTTTAGGGATCTCAGGGTTAAACTCGTCTGAGAGAGAGAGAAATAGAGATCAAAGAAAGAAAGAAAGAAGGAAAGAAATTAGTGAGCATCTAAAACCTTTTTTTATACAGATAAACAGTCTACAAAACGATATAAGTTGCCTCAGAGTAAAATGTTCAAAAATATATACCTTTTTTAAAGAAGTTAATACATTAAATTCAGCAAGATTGCATTAAACTGATCAATGACAGTAAAGACATTTATAATGTTACAAAAGTTTCTGTTTTAAATAAAAACTATTGCACTTTCTATTCAATGAATTCTGAAGTATCATGGTTTCCACCAAAATATGAAGCATTGATAATAAGAAATGTTTCTTGAGCAGCAAATCAGCATATTAGAATGCTTTCTGAAGGATCATGTGACACTGAACTCTTACTGACTCCAAACCTTTGAATGTGATTTTATAGCCTACAATATGATTTTATTTCTTATTTCAAACTTTCTCGCAATTACTGCTTTTATGTTGTACTCAATACCAATACCACATTCATTCTATAATTGAAATGTTTCAAAAACAAAACCGAAACGAACAATATTCCATTCTGTTTGATAAGACTAAAGAAATATATATTACAAAATGTCCAACGACTGCGACATCATACAGATGTACGTATATATAAAAATCTCAATGAGCAATGGTTAACTGTAGCTGTTTATTTCGATTTCCATCATGTTAGGCTAATCTTATCAGCAGGGTATTCAAGAGAAAGGTGGGAAATTATTGAAAAAAGAGTGAGGGAATGAGAATGTGATGGGAACATCACTCTAGGTTGGAGCTGAACCTGCATACCTCACATGAGCACCATGGCTCAGTGTCAAATCAGCATATTAGAATGCTTTCTGAAGGATCATGTGACACTGAATTCTTACTGACTCCAAACCTTTGAATGTGATTTTATAGCCTACAATATGATTTTATTTCTTATTTCAAACTTTCTCGCAATTACTGCTTTTATGTTGTACTCAATACCAATACCACATTCATTCTATAATTGAAATGTTTCAAAAACAAAACCAAAACGAACAATATTCCATTCTGTTTGATAAGACTAAAGAAATATATATTACAAAATGTCCAACGACTGCGACATCATACAGATGTACGTATATATAAAAATCTCAATGAGCAATGGTTAACTGTAGCTGTTTATTTCGATTTCCATCATTTTAGGCTAATCTTATCAGCAGGGTATTCAAGAGAAAGGTGGGAAATTATTGAAAAAAGAGTGAGGGAATGAGAATGTGATGGGAACATCACTCTAGGCTGGAATCAAACCTGCATACCTCACATGAGCACCATGGCTCAGTGTCAAGAACACATGCATTTATCATTAAGCAACAGCAACCAAAGGAAAAAAAAGTTGTACCTTAAAGTTAGACGTTGACATAGATGCTAAATTATCACCTACTAAACATCAGCAAACGACAAAAGGGAGCAGGGGAAATAATGAGTCCTCTTTGAGTAATGTCATTACCTACAGCAACTGTAATGGTTTCCCCACAGTCTTCTCCAAATATAAGGAAGATAAAACTCATCCATTCATTTTCTGTATTATTACTGGCCCCAAAGCTCTATAACATTCTACAAGGGTTATTGATGATGAAAATAATCACTTAGAAAGAGAGAGACAGAGAAAAGAGGAAATAAAAGCAGCAGCAAGGAGGAGAGATAGTGAGAGAGAAATCTTATCTATTAAAACAGGAGATAAAATTGACTGGGAAGGATATTTCAGACAGAAATAAACAAAGAATGTGTGACATTTCTTATCTGCAGCAGCCACGCTGGATGTCGATAAAGGCCGCTCGGGCAGTTAGAGGTTAAACAGTCTGTTGTGATAGCAGACGTGAGTGAACATAGACACACAGCTCAATGGACGTATCAGCGGAGCCAGGTCAACACATCATGGAAATGTCTGGAATTTGTTATTGTTGATGCTCGCAGGTACAAATCCTAATGGACTGGTTCTGCTCTGTGTGTGACAAAGTAGGATGTGTTCCTGGATCAACGTCTTTTGCTGGGTCCGGAACAACATTCCTGTCAAACAAATATAGTCTTATACCCTAGTGGTTCTCAACTAGTTTTGCTTAAGGACAGATTTGACGTTGGACAACAAGTGCTGATCCAACACTGTTCCAGAATTGTTTAAAGTGCAAAAGTAAACAAAAATGTTCTAGCTGTGAATCCAAGCTGCACTGTAAGTTATATTTATGGCATTTTACGCCTTTTATTGGGATAGGACAGGTTATGTTAATTCAGCAGAAAATGGCTGATGGATTGACTAGTTTAAATTTTCTGTAAAAAAGTTTACATTTTTACTGTATTTTTTACTGAATTATTCTGGCAACCACAGCTGCCAGTTTTATTTTTGTAAAAACAACGGTATTTTTTTTAAGTGTATGTATTTCATGTGAAAAACTGCAATATTGCTAAATAAAATAAAACAGCACTTTCTACACATTTGAAAGAACTGTCACTACATAATATACATAAAATAAATTTCAGTAGCCAGTTTTACTCATTTTTGTGCAAATCTTGTGATATTGCATACAAAAATGCTGGATGGACACCAATATGCTTTTTTCCCATTGTTTTTTTAAACTTCCATGACCACACAACAATATGCAAAATCAATAATGTGGCATGGGCTGTATAGGAAAATGTGCTATTTTATCAATAAAATAGCAGAAGCATAATTTGCCAGTGTAAAACCGCAATTAATTGGGCTCACAACAATGGTCAACAGGGTGAAAAAATAGACTAAACCCTCTTCTGGATCCACGGTCTGATTCCACTCACTAGGGCATCTTCTTTTTCTTGGACATGTCCTGGCCAGGATTTCTAAATTGCCTAAAATGTCTGGGTTTTGCCTTTGTTTTGCTATTGTTTTCATACTTGCTGAAGGTAATGACTGAAAAGTCGTTTAAAAAATAGTGTGCAGTCTTTTTACATAATTTACCAATGGAGGTATGCAAGAAGGTGGGATCTACAGAGAACGATCAAAGCAATGCAAATACATGCACATATAATGTATGAGGACTATTGAGAGCATATCAACACAAAAACGAAGCCAAAACCCATACATTTTCGGCAATTTAGAAATCCCAGTCAGGACATGTCTGGGGAAAAGAGGCTGTATGGTCACCCAACCACTCGCCAATCATTTATAGATATGTCTACAGTAGCCTTTTAGCCAAATAAAGAGGAAAAAGCCAAAACAAATCTTTAACTTTTAGCTGTTTCACCTTCTTGGCTTTCTTTGCCTGTGACTTGGCAAGCTGAAATAAGAAACATCAGGTCTCCTAGGTCTCTAAGGCTGTGTTAAACTTTGAAAGTCTTTTCAGAATAGTGATTATACATTGCTTTTTTGACATCCATAACCCTATCATATCATATCTGTTTCATCGAGGATAATCCCTGACTGGAACGCACTATATAATGTGTGCTATGCACAGACTTAAGCAGAATGAATGTTTTAATGCAGCGTCAGCACAAATGATGGTATTATGGAGCTGTTGACAGAAAACAAAGTAAAACTTACTTTCCAAGACTGCTACACATGCCATTTGTTTCTTATAATAGGTTGGTTGACCTGTCAGCAATGTGTTTTTTTTTTATATATACGGTTTGGGAAAGCTAACAGGATGTTGACAGCTTTAGAAGCAGGAGCATCTGCGTACAAATAGAGGGTCATTTGTTCATGTGGTTTATGTGTTTCATAAATGGATACAAGAATCAGTTTCCATTTGAATGGCCTGTGCATTACGCGCGCACACACACACACACACACACACACATATAGAGAGACCTACTGCTAGAGTGCTTTTGGATGCCTAGGGCGGTGTAAAGTGCCAGCTATTTGTTTTGTTATGTGTTTTGTCAAGGGCATGTGGGCATTGAGCCAAGCTGTGCATCCCGCAGTGTGTCCGGATGATCCTTCCTGTGAACCTGATGTGAACTTGGGTTTCTGGGTATTCCCTGGACGTACATTTCAGATGCATTCATAATGCGTCTCACTGCACATTTACAGCTCGATTTCTTAGAATAAAAACAATATTTGAGTGAGCATGAGGAAGCAATAATTGAAAAAATCCATTCATTTGTTTGTTATTGGCCATCCCCTGGTCACAGGACGTTATCTGGCCTAATGGTCATCCTGGCTTTTATGAGGAATTTCAGATGCTCACGAGGCAGATTAAAACAAACATATTTTTGAGAGCAAATGAACATTTGTGTTAAATACTAAAAGCCAATGTGTGTACAGGCTTCACATGTTTGTGTGTGTTCACTTACCAATGTCATGCAGTTTGGGTCTGACAGTGTAGTCAGGTGGATTCTGGTTAGAGTCGTCATCTCCATTAGAGGCTGGAGCAGAGAAAACACATGATCTGAGTTTAGACAGTGGCCCCAAAGACTATTTGGACACTTAAGGCATTGTTCACCCCAAAATGAAAATGTTCTAAACATTTACTCAACCTAAGGCCATCCAAGATATACATGAGTTTGTTTCTTTATCAGAACAGATTTTGTATAAATGTAGCATTACATCACTTGCTCACCAGTGGATCCTCTGCAGTGAATGGGTGCCGTCAGAATGAGAGTCCAAACAGCTGATAAAAACATCACAATAATCCACACAACTCCGGTCCATCAACTAACCTTGTGAAACGAAAAGCTGCGTTTGTAATAAACAAATTCATCAAGAGATGTTTTTAAAGTCAAACGAGTCGTCTATTCGTAATATTGCTCTCTCCAGTGGAAGTCATTTAATCTGAATCAGGAGAGAAATATGTACAAATCCAGCACGTTTTGCATGTGAAAAACAGTCCAAAATCAATTCTAAACAAATATGCCAGTGGGTTTTGATGGTTTGAGAGCAACAGGGGATGTACTTTTTTCACTGGAGGAAGCATTATTACAGATTACAGTCAGAAGCAATTGTTAATATTAAAAAGCCTTAATGATGGATTTGTTTATTTCAAACAAGCAGACTTCACCAGACATTAATTGATGGACTGGAATCATGTGGATTACTTGTGGATTATTGTGATGTTTTTATCAGATGTTTGGACTATCATTCCGATGGCACCCATTCACTGCAAAGGATCTATTGGTGAGCAAGTGATGTAATGCTAAATTTCTCCAAATCTGTTTTGATAAAGAAACTGTTCAGGTCAAGCTTTATTTTAAGGTCCAATTTTCGCCATTAATTAACTATTAACTGCGACTTTTGCCTCAATAAACTCCTAATTACTGCTTAGTAAGGTAGGCTAGTTGTTAAATTTAGCTATTGGGTCGGATTAGGGGTATAGAATAGGGTCATGCAGAATATGTGCTTTATAAGTACTAATAAATAGCCAATGTGCTAGTAATATGCATGATTATAAGCAACTAGGTTATTGTGATTTGGTCCCTATAATAAAGTGTTACCAACTTTCATTTTTGGGTGAACAATTATTTAAAAAATGAATGAATGTCCTTGTATTAAATTACAAAATGACAACAATAAAATCACGGTAAATTGCAGAAGCTCGAACAAGTGATGCATAAACTCTGTATTAAGATAATAAATTAGATGCACTTTGCATTTAAAAAGCATGTCTTAGAATTTTTCTTAGCATTATAAATACATAAATGCATTTATGAAGATTTGTGAAACTCGTATAGAGGGAATTAGGGTACATTTTTTTTCTAACTTTCAGTCTATGCATTTGCATTTTTTCATGTATAGTGTTTTTATAATACTCCAAAAAAAAAAGCTGCTATGTTTATTGTCAAATGCATATATTTGCTGCCTTAATATTGAGTTTACATTTTTAAATTGAATTCACATTTTCTTGCCATCCCTTATTTATACACATCACTCGTTCAAACTTGAAATGATAATTATGTACAGTATGTAAACACAAAGCATTTACTGTCACACACACACACATAACTGAGAATGATCAGTGATTAATGTAAATAAACGTGTTGAAGAGATGAATGAGTTATGATATCAAAGAAAAAGAGAGCAAAGAGTGACAAGAGAAACTGAAAGAGAGAGCAGGGGATGAGAGGAGCTCTCCACACATGGCTGTGATCAAAGGCCACAGAACGTGTTCAAGCATTAAGTTGGGAAAAAAGTTTGCTCACACACAAACACACATTAACCCCATCATCACAACCTTCACTTGTGGTTTGCATGCTTTTTGTTTCTATGTGTGTGTGTGATGTTGCTCACCTGTAGAACAGCAGACAAACACCCGCAGTCTTAAACAGCTGTGTCCGTGGTGATGGATTGGTGTAGCTGCAACAACACATGACAGCACAAACATGAACCTACTGCCACCTACTGGACAATGACATGCACTGACATCACTTTTAGGATCTGAATGTAATACTAACTTACTACGAACCACCTCACGTTGTTCCAACCTGTAAGAGTTTCTTTCTTCTGTTGAACCCAGAAGAAGATATTCTGAAGAATGTTGTTAACCAAACAGTTGCTGGTAGCCATTGACTTCCATAGTATTTTTCCCTACTATGAAAGTCAATGGGTACCAGAAACAGTTTGGAACAACTTGAGTGTAAATGGTGACAAAATGAAGACAACTTGAGGGTAAATGACGACAGAAATATTTCGTGACCATTTCCGTCCCTACTCTGACCATTAGAATTAAACAAGTTGTTTTTGCTACTGTACCTTTAAATCTTCCTTACGTAAATGAGCACAGAATAACTAACTTTGCATATGAAATGAGTAGCAACCTGATTCAAAGTGTGTCTACGCTTTATTTCAAAAGAGCAAAGCAAATGATATAGTCCCTTTAAGGTATCCAAGGCAAAGCTCCTTCTGCTGAGATAAAACAAACACTAAATAAATAACATTGCCCTAAACAGATACGGTGTACGTTTATTAAATTATCCATTTCCACAAGCTGCAGATACCATCTGTGATTGATGAATTGGCCCAAAACGAACTCCCCTGTGCTCAGACAAAGATAACGTTTCCTGTTTTCAGGTTGATATACATATGGGCCACATTATCATAGAAATGTTTGAGTGTGATACCATTTTTCAATACCAAATAGTTGTCGTGCTATCGCTAATAACCTGCCTACAGACCGCACTAATGAAGACGACTATTAGCATTAGGTGTGACATGTATCAGAAAATCATCATTAGCAATGCTCTATTAACACTCGGTTTACAGCCTGCATTAAAAAAGTTTTCAATCAAAACGAGTGCACTCTAATTGGTAGTGATTGACCCAAATGCCAGAAAGACTGATGATCGGCGGCCGCCCGTAACGCCTATATCCTGATAACAAGCTCCTCTGGATGACAAAGCCATCCCTTTTTCACCAACAAGGCAGTTTTGAGAGCAAATGGACTGCTGGGAGAGATGCATTTGTGCCTGTCCTCAGGAGCGTTTTTTATTCTCAGTTGTGATTTGGTAAAATGAATGAAACATGGTTGTGTTTGAAATAACTCGCCGCCTTGCTTAATACCACCGCTTCGTAACAATAAAGCCTTTTAAAGACGATCACTGGGGTCGCAAATTGTTTTCTTCACAAGTTTCTTTTGTTAACCGCATCTGTATGACTTATCTGTAACCCTGCACATAATGATGCTCACGCAGAAAGTTCTCACTCCTTTTATTCCGAACTCAAAAAACTCTGCATTACAATCGCCACATCATGAAAGTGAGGATCCTGCCAAGGCACTTCTGCTAACAATGTCCCCTTGAACAAAGCACTAAACCTCCATCTGCTCAGCAGTATGCCTATCCCTGTGTAATAACCTTTTCTGTCAGTGGAGTTTAGATAAAGTAAGCTTACTGCAACCAGGAACTTGCCAGCTAAAGAACACTTTAAAAGATTATTATGTTAAATACAAGTTAAGCTCTATGGACAGCATCTGTGGCATGCTGTCAATAACCACAGAAATAATTTCGACTTGCACCTGAGTTTGTTGACAGAAATCCATTTGTAATTGCCCCAGATACTTCTATTGTTTGCTTGTTTTTACAAACTGAGGAGCAAGTCTGAAGTATTTTCTGTGATAGCATGCCACCAGATTTCCATCCACAAACTCATATGCAAATATTGGGATACTGCATAAAAAATAGTGAATAGAAACATTAAGATTCTCTCCAGAATGTGCACACAAACGTACAGACTTGCTAGAGTATAAACTTTTATTTAGTTCGACAACAATCCTCATAAACTTTAACTGCAACACAATTACTGAATAAATTCGCCAAGGGGTGTCAAAAATAAAAATGAGACTTTGAGTCATGTGACTGATTAATTTAGTTGGCTAGTATCATCTTCCAGAATGTTCTAGTATGCTGCTGTTTAAAGCATGAGGCATCTGCCGAAGATTGCTAGCAAAAATATAATTCTTCAATGTGTGATTTATTATGTTTAATAAAAATGGCTTCCCCACTGGCTCTAATTTACATTTCTATTTTGAGCAAATTTCCCCAAAATGGGGGATTTTTCTTCTCTTGAAGGCCATTGAAAAGCTGCTTAACTTGCAAAACATTTTTTGCAAAATTCCTTTTTTTTCTCACAAATTATAATTTTTTTCCTTGGATGGACACTTATGTACTTATGTTATTTATTTAGCTTAATTTGTTAAGTTGAACTTAGTTACTTTCATATTTGGCTGGTCATGTGAATATACTAGCAGGGTTATTATTATAATTATTAACTAAAAGTAAAAAAAAAAGGAAATAAAAGAAATGTTAACTGAAATTAAATAAAATGTAAAAAAACAAAAACATTTTACTTAAGCTAGTTGTCAAAGCAACATTAAGTTGATGCACTAAAATAACAATAACTGAAATAAAAATGAATAAAAACAATAACTAAAAAAAGACAAAACCATACTAAAACTTTAACAAAAATTTAAATAAAAATGGAAAATGCAAAAAAAAAAAAAAAAAGAATTCTAAATACAAAAAAAAAAAAAACGATAATAGTGTCAATGACACTAAAATAACATTGCATACCAACCTCCATGAGTCGCCCCACTTCATGTAAAATAAAACAGCTTTTATTAGGTAACTGATATGACTTGTGAATGTTTATGATTTTAAACAATTTAAAAATTATTATTCCTTTTCTTAATCAACAGAACCTTAATACAACTTTTTGAGGTTTGTGACTCTGATGCTCTGTCGATGAAACCTCAAAACTAAACACACAAAATAACAAACTGTAAATAAAAAATGTTAGAAAGCGACAAATACTCACATATATAGTAGTACTCATGACCCACGTTGAATTCATAGCCTAGCGAGAAGGCGCTGTAACGCTGGAATTTCTCAGAGAACTTAATTGGTGCGTGGGGGGCGTGCGGCCGGTTGCACTCCCAGCGTTTGAAGCCCATCTGTGGGTCACAGGTGCGATAGCCTCGGTAACTGACCATATAGAGAACGTACTGCTCAGCCACACCACGCTCTAGCGCCCCCCGCTGACTCTGGTTGTAGTGTGGACAGTAGATGTCCAGGTAGTCGTTAACGCTGACTTGTACGGTGTAGCCCTCTCTCCGCAAGCTGAAAGAAAGAGAGAGGAAGGGGAAAAAGAGAAACAAACAAAACATTATTATAAGATTACAGTGTTTTTGCTATTCGAGTGGCATCAGTGTCATATTCTTTGGATTTTCTAATGGACAGACAGGAAAATGGAAGAATAGTGGAAGATTTATCTCATTGACCTTTTTTAAAACGTATAAGTCCTGCTTGAACGGAAAAGCAGTTATATTTCAATGCTTTGCCACAGCACATTAAACCGGATAATTTTTCATGCTTATTGCGTGCGAGGCACCGATCAAACAACAGGGGGCAGTGTTTAATTTCACAGAGGCCCTTCTCATTTGACTCTCTTTGTCTCACACAAGCTCACACAGAAAAAACGTGCTAATACACACACTCGCGCTCTTCTAGGCCAGGTCCCGCAGGAGATTATTATTCAATTACAAAACGAGGATCAGAAATGTCACCCACTCCTTCTCCGTTCCTCTTCCGCTAACCCCTTTCTCCTCGGTTTCTGTGTCTTTCTTCAGACTTCCTTTCTCTTTTTTTACACACTTTCTGTACTACTACACATGCAAGCTGTTTTTTTGCTTTCTAAAATGCGCATTATTCACGTGTCCTCTTTATAGCTCTGCTCCTCCTCTTTTACTCACCGTATCTGCTTTCTTTTTTCCTACAGCTTTTTCCCCCTTTTTTTAATCAGTGTCTTTCTTAGCCTTTTATCAATACACAACAGATGGCAATCACATCCTTGATTAGGGCTTTCTCTCTCTCTTGCTCTCAAACACGCAGACTGCATGAAAGATTTTTGTCATGCAGTGTGTTTTGGGGAGGGATGCTTCAAAGCTGCTATATTTAGGGAGAGGGAGCAGGCAAGGAGTGGAAAAGAGAAAGATAAAGGGAGAAGATGAAAGAGTGAGGAAAAGCAGGAAAACAAAGGATGAGATGGGTACGGAGAGGCACAGAATTGGGACGCTGATGTACTTCACACTCCTGAAGATGATGATGTTGAGAGGGGTGTGTGTGTGTGTGTTGGTCAGGTTTTATCTACACTGCAGGGACCAAATGTCCCCAAAAGGGGAATAAAGACTAGAATGTCACAGTGTGAGCACCAGCCAATAGCTCCCATGAGGAAAATCGTTTAATAAAGATACTAAAGTAATGTCCCAGGATGCATCTCATAGGGTTGGTTGATTGAATGTCTAGACAAAGACACTAAAATTTAGAAAAAAACTTTTGATTGGTTGAACATTACGTAATTCCAAACCTTCATTTGTTATTTCATAGCCGCGATGACTTCATTATGATTCTAAAATGTGAAAAATTGCCATGGTAAAGATTAAAAACAAATGAGCATATGTGTCCACACTTTTGACTGGTAGTAAGAGCTAAGAGTAAAAGCAA